TTTTTGTCTAAAAAAAATCAATACTCCAAACTCAAGGGATGAAGTATGTTTTGCTTTCAAGAATCACTGACCCACAGAGGGATAAAAACTCAATAAAGTATGGCTTAATTTTGTTTCTGAAACTGTCTCTTTTCATCCTGTAAACGAATGACCAGGTCTACAAAAGTCTACTTAATAAACATAACAAAATACATTTAAAGGAGAAAGAAGGACAAGCCAAGACAGGTATGAATTACGAGGAGACAGCAATAGAAAAGGGAAGAGAGAAAGAAAGAGTAAAGGCAAGTGAGATTTTACACATAATCTTTTTTAAGTATTTCTGAAATTCCCAAATGACTCTTACTTGCCCAAATGCATTTAGTCCTTAAACAAGTTACTTACAAAAGCAGTGTCTAAGTACCTGGCATTTCTTAAGCTCTCGCTTCAGCTGGAGAACTGTAATATGCTGCGGTCCTTCCTCCAGGTTTCCTACGCCTTGGCTCCCTCTGAATGAGGTGAGAATCGCCTTCCTGATCTCCTGGGTCGTGTTAAACCACTCCTGCAGTCTGTGTTGCTGCTTCTGGTTCAGTTTCACGGCATCTTTCAGGTCCACCAGGAAGGTAAAGGCTTCCTCTATACAGTTTTGGTAACCCAGACATTCTCCTTGCAGCTGAGCTACTTGCTCCTCAAGAGAATGGATCTTATTTTCATCAGGAGTCTCCTCTTGGTGGGTCTGGCTAGTCTGGCTGCTAACAGACTGCTGGCTTTGCAAAGCTTCTCGAAGCAACTTAATCTCAAATTCCATTTCGTCCATACGGTCTGACTCGGGGCTGAAGTTCAAGGTGGGTTTGTTTCTAATGTTGCGTGCTCTGTTGGCGTATTTGAGAGAATTTAAGGACTCATCGAAATCCGAGGACGATGGGCTGACACAAGTGATCATGAGAGTCTTGGCACTGCCTCCCAGGGAATCTTTCAGAAGCCGGGTAATTTTAGCGTCCCTATATGGAATATGAGAACTCTTCCTGCGTGGGTCCCCAAGAGCGCTTATTACATTTCCTAAAGCCAGCAACCCACTGTTGATTTGAATGGATTCTTTGAACCGTTCGCCAGTATTCCCTGTTTTGGTTACTCTTTCTGACCCAGCCAAATCCACAAAATGGAACTTTGAGACAATATGTCTACGGGAATACCACGATCCATCTTCGGCTGCCTCTATATTTTTCTTCACTTGACAAACACTGATTGTGAAAATTGCATGTGATCTACTGGAGTGCTCGTTCATTTGGGTGGTACCCGTATGCCTGGCTGCATTTCCCACCTCCAGGAGACTCAGCACTTCATCTGCACTCTCCGCCTGGCATTCCTTGGCCCCAACAATCACTTAAAATAGCAACAGCAAGCTTTTAAACCAAGTTTTAATCAAAATCCAGTAGAGTTAAATTAACCACACAATAGTTATCGCTTGCTAAACTGCCCAGCTAAGACAGTCCATTTAAAAAAAGCAACAGCATTTCAAACAACAGTAAAGTCAGCAACATCATTAAATCATTTTAGATGATCTTCTAACCAGACTATTTTAATAGACAGCACTCATTTTGATGTTTAAATTCTAGAAGATGTAACATACATGCCTTTTCAAACAACCTGGTGTCTTTGGAATCACACATCACTCTCAATTCTTCAAGATGGTTGACAAAAGAAAAACTCTTTATTCTAGTATTTTGATTTGTAGAGTCCAACACATTAATTAAATGAACAGATTAACTAAATATATAACTCAAAAGAATTAGTCAGTAGTAGATTAATTAAAGGAAATTAATTTCTTCTGAGCTTCATTAATATTCAAGCCATCCTGAGGTTTAAGGTTTGTGGTACATAACCAATGATAAATGAAAATGTCAGTATCAAGTTGGTTATTCATTTTAAAAACAGGTTTGCCTTGTATAACATCAGAGTGCAAGGTAAACAATGAGATGGCAATTCAAAAAAAGCAAAAAAAGTTTCTATTTTAATGGCAGAATAGAACCCAAAATAACCTAAGATTACTACCCACATTGTCTATATACAAAAATATTTCAAAAAGGAGTAGGTGGATTTGGGATTTGAATCATAGCAGTCAATCTCCAGAGCCTGTGCTCAAAAATGACAGCGTCATGCTTCCTCTTTAATCTAACCTGTCATGCCACCATGTCTTTGAAAAATAGTCATTCTGCTTGCACTGTTTCCACCATGACACCTTTTTAAACAATCTAGTTCATTTAAAGCTCTAAATACCTGTACTACAGAAAGTGTTAAACTGTCAGCAATTATAAAATATAACAAGGTAATCATAAATCAGAATAAAACTATTGTATAAAATTTTTCTAACGTTAGGCTATAGCTTAATACTATCTATGGTCCTCAAACCCAGCTGCAAATCACTTGGGACCTTTCTAAAACGTGAAGTACCAACATCCATGCCCCATCCTAGACTAATTAATCAGAATCTCTAAAAAGTGGGGCCTGGAAACCAATATTTCTTAAAAAGCTTCCAAGGTGATGTTATTTGTGCAGCACCCAGGTTGGATACCACCCACCACTTGACACAGAAGAATTCAATAAATATGTCAGACAAATGCATTTCTGTTCTGAGTGGGACATTTTATAAGGTATATGGCAATTTGTCTTATGACAGTTTGTTACATCCTACAAAAATTTCTGTAGGACTGCTATCAGCTGTGGAATATTTCCGTCATTATATTTATGAGTATGATAGTGTATACTTCTGCACTATTTTACAATAAGCATATTTTATTTCTGTAACCTTTAGTAAAAGATAAAAACATTTGATAATTACATTTCATAAGATACAGAAGCTCAAAACATCAGTCTGACTTCTGTCCAGAAAAGATAAACTATACTAAATTATTTAATAAGACCATAAACCACATTAGCCTTCTTTCTAAGAAACAAAACAAACCAGTTTCTTCAAACACCCAGGAATATAGGTATGTATATGTATCACTGAACTATTATGCTGTACACCAGAAATTGACACAACATTGTAAACTGACTATACTTTAATAAAACAAACAAACCAAAACCCCAAACACCGAGGAATACCAGGGCTGCCAGGACAGGGCCTATAAGGAGACAAGCTTTACTGCCCCCTGCAGGCTGCTATTGAGTGAGATAACCATCTTCCTTTCCTAACTGCTAGGAAATGCCCCCAAGGAATCACTCCTCTGGCAGGATCCTTTGTCTCCAGGAAGGTTCTACTAAATGTGTTTTCTAGGAGAAGAGACATCCAAGAACAGTCATTGTTATTAATAATGGTGAAAATCTGAAAACAACCTAAATGTCCAACAATGGACCATCAGCCAAATAAATCATTATAATATATTCAGAAGATAAATTACACAACCGTGAAGAGTCATAAATCTGAAAAATACTTAATGATGTGGAAAATTCTTACAATACAAATATTAAATGAAAAAATAAGATGAAATGCTATAATGAGTTTGCAAGTATATTTTTAAAAAATAGGATGTGCATAGAAAAAGAAATCTGGAAGAAAACACACCAAAATTAGAAGCTGCGATCTCTGTATTCTGAGATTAAAGATGACCTTTAACTTTCTTCCTTAGACTTTAGTATGTTTTCAAAATGTTCTATGTTGAACATATGACCTTTTAAATCAGAAAAGCAGAGTTACTCTTTAAAATACCTGTATTTTGATCTCCCCATTCTAACCTTCTCCCATTGCCAAACAAATGCATATTTAATGAGATTACAAGGTTGATAGCACAGAAAAGCCAGACCTTGAGAAGCACAACAAAGGACAGGTAAAATGTCATTACAAAGGAGAAAACAAAACACATAAACCCTAAATTAACAACAACAACAATAACAAAAAACAAAGAGGAAGTGATAGGTGTGCTGGGACAAAAATCAAAGAGAAAGAGAGAGTTCTGGATCAACTGGAACACCAAAGGGAGAAGCCGTCCCCAATCTCACAGTAACTCTGGGAGGAAAAAAAGTATAAAAGTTAATTTAGCCTATGTCACAATGTCACGATCTTTCTTGAGGACAGCCCAGACTGGCGGATAATTATAGAAAATATAGCTGACCTTTGAACAACATGGGCTGGAGCGAATTTTTTTTCAATAGTAAATACTATAGCATTTACACTACACTACCTGTGGTTGACTGAATCCACCCATGCAGAACCATGGATACAGAAGGCCGACTATAAGTTATACTTGGATTTTTGACTGCGTGGAGGGTTGGTGGCCTGATCTGCCACCACCCCCTTATTCATGTTGTTCAAGGGTCAACTATACTTTGATTTACACCCTAATAAGTCCATCTTCCCAACCAGTCTGAACTTTATTTTTCACCTGGGTGATTAAACTGCTATTGGTAATCAATAAACTACTCAATTTAAAAGTGAAAACAAATTCATTTTACGTCCATGTCTGATTTAAAACAATCTTTGGAATATAACCAGAATCTGAATTAAATCAAATCCTTTTGCTAATGAAGGCTTTCAATTAAGCAAGCTACTTCACCTGTGTTTCCCTTTTCATCTTCTCGGATGTGAAGATCCTTCACAGATGTTTCCAATTCTAGAAGATCTCTTAGGTCTTCCTTGTATACTTCTATATAAGACACTTTCACATTAAAGTCAATGCTAGGATTTTCAGAGATGTTTTGAAATATTTCTTGGATAGCACGAGGAATGATACCCTTTTGACCCTCCACAACTGAAGCTGAAAATTTAGGAAAAAAAGCATATCTGAAACTATAAGAAAAGCTACAATCAATAAATTTACAATCCATAAATTAATTTTCTTAAATTTCTACTTGAAAAAGTTTTAAAACCAAAACTATAAATTCATAGGCAAAAGTTTTCACATGCATGCCCTTACTCAAAATGTATTCATGTGCTCAATAAACATTTATACAGTACCTACTATGTACCGGGCAGTATTCTAGGACCCCCGGAAACATCAGTGAACAAAACGGGGGAAAAAAATCCCTGTCCTTATGGAACTGTACTAGGAGAGACAGACAACAGCAAAAAAAAGAATAACTGGTAAGTGAATTATATGGTACATTAAAATAGTGTTAAGTAAGCTTGCCTGGAGGAAAAAATAGGGCAAGGTAAGGGGGACTGGAAGTGTGACTGTATTTAGGTGGGCAGTGCTCGCAGTTTTAAACAGGAAAGTCATGATGAGCATCAGGAAAAGCTGACGTTTGAGCAGAAACTTGAAAGAGGTGGCAGAGGACCCAGGCTGGTATCTGAGTGTCCCAGACAGACAACAGCAAGTGCAAAGGTGCTAAACTGGTGTGATCCGGAAACAAGGAGGCCATGTGGCTGGAGCAGAGGGAGCAAGGGGAGAGTGACGGGATGAGGTCGGAGAGGTGACAGAAATCAGAGCATGTAGGTCTTGGTAGACCATGATAAACTGCAGGTTTTTTCCTGAGATGAGAGCCATTGGAGCAGAGCAGTAATTTGGGATTTAAAAGAGAACACTCTGGCTGCTAGGTCTTGCTTTGATCACAGAAGGGCAGGGGTACAAGCGGGGAGACCACTTAGGAGACCAGTGCAGTAATCCAGGAGTTAAGGGGGCTGGGGGATGGGATACACGTGACAGAGGCTCACACAAGGGAAACGTGAGAAGTGACCAGATTCCAGATTATATTGAAGAGAAAGCCATTAAGATTCACTGACAGATTGGATGTGGAATGTGGAAGTGATGAGCCAAGGATGACTTCAAGGTTTTGTCTTGAGCCACGGGAGTTGCCATCAACTAACACGGGGAAGAGTGGGTGTTGAGCTGGTTTAAGGGGAAAATGGCAGAGATAATTTTTTGACCTATTAATCTTGAGCTATTTATTTGGGATACAACTGGAAAGGCTGAATAGGCAGTTGGGATATATGAGACCAGAGTTCAAGACAGTGTCTGAACTGGAGGTAAAAAACTGGAAGTCAGCTAGCTACATACAGATGGTATTTAATGTCATGGGGCTGGATGAGATCCATCACTGCCTCCTCTTCTCTGTCATTTCTGTAACTCGGAACACAGATGTAACATTATGAATGCACATAAGACACTCAGATACTGAATGTTCACAGCAGCATTATCCACAATAGCCGAAAGGGGGATACAACTCAAGTGTCCATTAACAAATGAATGGTTAAACAAAATGTGACTTGGACATACAATGGAATATTATTCAGCCATAGAAAGGTATCAAGTTCCAATACATGCTACAACATGGAGGAGACCCCTGGAAACTTTATGCTACATGAAAAAAGCCAGACATGGGAGAACAAATACCTTATGGTTCAACTTCTATGAACATCTAGAAGAGACAAATTCACAATTAAAGAAAGTAAATTAAGAGATTACCAGGGAATGGCAGGAAGGGGAGTTATTGCTTAATGGGTACAAACCTATTTGGGGTGATGAAAAATTTTGGGAAGAGCAGTGATGGCTGCAAAACACTGTGAATGTATTTAATGTCACAGAACTATACTCTTAAAAATGGTTAAAATGGTGAATTTTATATTTACTGCAATAAATGGCTAAAATGCCAAATTTTGTCTTACATTTATTTAACTGCAACTTTTAAAATAGTAAAAAATATTACAAGATGAAATTTAGAGTAAGTAAAAGAATAAATTGGGACTTAAGGGTAAATAAGTTTCTGTAGGCCAATTTAGAAATCTGCCTACCATTTTTAGCACTGCTCCATGGAAAATATAGTTCAAGCTACAAAAAGGTGGCTTATAAATGAACCTTAAAAACAACTTACTTCTCAGTCGAAGATTACAAATGTTTACATTTTTGGCAACAAACACCTTGAAAAGCTGGACCTTATTAATTTGGACTGCCTTTCACTTAATTTAAGATGCAGGATTGCCATCGTGTGGCAGGTACAGGAAACTGCAGGTTTTTCCAGTGTGAAGGAAAGTGAAGATTTCCTCTTGGAGAACTTCCAGGAACTAGCCAATAGTACTGTCTGTAAACTCCAGTATATATATATACTAGATTAGCCAGAATATAAGACTGACCAGAAATAGTTCATTTACTTCCTACTTCAACAGATGAAAACCCACAATAATTCATTCAGAACACATCAGAAAGGTGAACTTCAAATAATACTTACAATATTTATTATAAGTTTCAACATGTATTTTGGTAACCTAAATATCACATCTTCAATGCCACACTTATATTCCTGAAACAGACTATTTCAGAGAGAAACTGTAAACGTTAACACCTCAACAACCGCCATTTAGCTTTATAAACTATTTAAAGAGTATGCAAACAGGAGTTTTTAGAGAAGATTATACCTAGTAAAAGTTGGTAAATCCAAGGTTCTGAAAGGCAGGGAAATGAATATTAGTTTAAATAAGCATCATATTGAAATTAAGAGATTTTCATTCTGCCACAGTGTCTTGTATGGTACCTAGCCACTGCAAATGCTCAATAAATTACTTAATGGAGGAAAAAACATTATTTCCACGGTCAATAATCAGAAAGCAGATGACTGAACCAGAATTAGTGTCCTACAGACAACCTGGAAATCGAAAATACCGTTTTCACAAATACACCAAGGAATGTAACTTCAAACAACAAAGTGCAATTTTTCAATCTATCACATGGCACAAAAAAAAAATTGGGGTTCATGATTTCCAGTAAGTGGCAAGGATATAAGCAAATAAATGGCTTTCATATATTGGTGGTAGGAATATAAAATAGGCATATTTTAGGTATTAAATACATCATTAAATGAACAAATAACAACAACAAAACAAAAACTACACGTGTGAGTCCTTGTAATATGCCTAGAATATGTCTAGAGGACTCTAGAACGTTATTTCCTGGGAATGAGAAGAGCTTTCATTTGCTTAACTTGATTTCTTAAGCATTATTTGCAATTTGTTTTACAATGAATAGTAATCTGTTTAAAAAGTAGAGGAAAAACCATCAAAAACTGTTCCTAATGGTGATCTATTTCTTCTGGCATGAAATATTTTACAGCAGTTAAAATATTTTAGGATTATAGATAACTTGAATAACTTTTTCCCTTAGGGAATTAAAATTGCATTCACGGCCCCTTAAAAAACAATATAGCCATAAATCAGTCACCAAGCTCTGAAAATTTTAAGACTCCTATGAGTAAAAGGAATAAACTGAGTCTTAAAGATCATAAACCACCTGCCAATCAAAAAAAAAGTTACACTTTTCAAGAAAACCCACAACTTGTAGTAGAAAAACTGAATTTTAAAAATGTTGAGACCCTAAAATAATCTAGTATCTATAGTCTCTTAATACTGTAATAACAGTGATTCTAAAAATCGGGAAGGGAGAGGGGGTACTGGGCACTTACAACCCTCCATTGAATCTTTAGAATAAGATTAGAATAAGGGCTTAGAATAAGGGCTTCCTCAAACCACAGAGCCACCCTCTAACCCTCCCCACCAATCCCTGCATGTAATGAGAGATGTTTCTGAAAGTCACATATTCTATTTCAGAAGCATGAAAGCAGAAAACACAATGAGTCATTACACATACACAGAACACTGATGATAATTTAAATAATAACAAATATGCACAACATTCCAAAATTTGCTTTGAGTAAAAAAAAAAAAAAAGCTATATAGTAAATGATCTCAACAGAGAACTTGGCTTTCAATCCCAGCTCTGTCAGCAGTCACCTAACTGAGAAAGCCCTTCATTGCTCTGTGGATGGAAATCCTCAATTATAAATGAAGAAAAATGATTTCCAAAGTTCCTTCCAGCTCTAAAGGAAATCCTATGATTCCATCTTTCCAAACTAGAATTATAAGCAAGAGAAAGTACATCTCAAATGCTCAGTTTTTAAAATAGGAATCTGTATGTATGCATGAGGTGCTGGATATGTTAACTACATCTTTCACAGTTTCAGTTTTATCAAATCATTACACTGTACACTTTAAATATTTTACCATTTTATTTGTCAACTATACCTCAATAATGCTTAAAAAATAAAATAGAAATCTCACTAGAAAATTTTTAAGAAACACTTTAAACTACATAATAAAATTCTCCTACTGCCTCTAAGTCCTGGTTGCAAGACTCTTAACATTTACAATATTGAAAGATGCAGAACCTGATCATGTTAACTCATTTTTATTTTAAATTCTATTCAAAATGACAAAGGGTTGCTAGAGGCAGACGTTGGCAGGTAAGGAAATTGGTGAAGGCGGTCTAAAGGTAAAAACTTCCAGTTATCAGATACTTAAGTCCTGGGGATGTAATGTACAGCATGATGACTATAGTTAACAATACTATACTGTATATTTGAAAGCTGCTAAAAGAGTAGAACTTAAAAGTTCTCATCACAAGAAAGAAATGTAGCTATGTGAGATGACTGATGCTAGCTAAACTTACCCTGGTGATCATTTTGCAATATATACATACATCGAATCATGATGTTGTACACCTTGGACTAAGACAATATTACATGTCAGTTACAGCTCAAAAAAACCAGGGGGTGGGGGGGAGACACAAGAAGGGCTGAACACTGAACATTGTCTTAAACTTCTTTCCTCAAGCAAATATAATCATAAATTGTTTAATGGCACTTCCATATTTAAAACCGAACCTTTCAAAGATGATCTTCTGAACACATCTGATTACCCTATTCATTATTTCATTCGGTCAATATGCTGAGCACCTACTATGTGTCAGGCACAGTAGTATTTTAGGTTCTTTCTAGTGTCTCAAATAAAAGTCAAAGAGTATGAGAATCTTACCAACATGGCCTCCTCCAATGGTGTATGTCTTCCCAGATCCAGTTTGTCCATAGGCAAAAACTGTTGCATTATAGCCCTCAATGAGTGACAACACTAGTGGCTTTATACAGGTATTATAAACTTCGTCTTGAGTGGAATTTTTGCCAAAAACAAAATCGAAAGTAAAGATTCTATCTCTCCCAATGATAATTTGTTGGGTGTTTGGAATAGCTCTCACACAAGCTTGATGATTATGAAGAACTTCTTTGCACAGCAGAGGTCTAATTCTTACAGCAACTTTTACTGGTATTTCCTCCATGGCAGCTCAGATTTTACTAAACAGATTTTCTACTTAATATTCAGTATCTAGTGTGAGAAACATCCATTTTATGTAAGATCTGGACCCCTGTGTATCAAAAACAAAACAAAACTTAATTATCAACTCCTCTATCCCAAAAGACTAACCATCTTCTAAAGCAAAGTCAATTAGAGCAGGTTTTGTTCCAATATAAGAGAGCTACAAAGATGAACTCTGTCTTGAAAAAGTATACCTATAATTTACAGATTTGCTGCAAAATAATCTAGAGTACGGGAGCCATGAGTTAGAGTATGGTGAAGCAAAGTTTTAAGTGCATGAAGTTCCATTATGGCATTTCTTCTATAGTGGTAATACATTTCCAGCTCATTCATCTAAATATTGGCTAACTGGGGAGCTAGAAAAAATAAGGCAAGGATATAACTGGGTAATTGTACACATGTACACAAGTACTAAAAATAAAAATAAAATCTTTTTGTCACAAATATTAGAAATCAATTCATGAAATAGTTTTAAGGATTTCTGTAAGTCAATGTAAATTTAAAATAAAATTTTTATTCAAAAATAATCAAAACTAACAGAAAAACTACTTTTCTACTCCTAAATTATGTTGTACTTATTTCTGAATATCTCTGGTGGAATAAATACATTAAAAATTAAATTGGTAGCTACACTTACAATGAACAACCTGAAAAATAAATGTAAGAAAACAATTTCACTTACAATAACATTAAAAAGAATAAAATACTCAGGAACAAATTTAACAAAAGATGTGTAAAACTTACACTTTGAAAACTACAAAATATTGTTGAAAGTAAGGAAGATCTAAATAAATGGAAAGACACCTAATGTTCATGGAAGACTTAACATATTAAAATGGCGATATTCCCCTAAATTGATCTAAAGATTCAACAGAACACCTTTCAAAATCCCAGCTGACCTCTTTGCAGAACTTGACAAGCTGGCCATAAAACTCATACGGAAATTAAAGGGACATAGAATAGCCAATACAATGCTGAAAAAGAACACAGCTGGAGGATAGACTTCCCCAATTTTGAAACTAAGCAACAGTAATCAAGACTGTGGTACTGGCTAGCATAAGACAGACTTAAAGACCAATGGAAAAGAATTGAGAATCCAGAAATAATCCCCCACGTTTATGGGCAACTGATTTTCGACGAGAGTGCCAAGACAAATCAATGGGGGGAAAAAAACAGTCTTTTCAACAAATGGTCATGGGACAGCTGGGTATCTACACGCATAAGAGTGAAACTGAACTCTGACCACACATCATAGACAAATTAGACATATTAATTCAAAATGGTTCATAGACCTAAATGTAAGAACTGAAAATATGAAGCTCTTAAAACACGGGAGTAACTTTTTGTAATCTTGGATTTGGCAATGGTTTCTTAGATATGACACCAAAAGCAATAAGCAAAAAGGAAAAATAGATAGAATGGATGTAATCAAATTTAAAAGCCTAGGGCCTCAAAGGACACCATCAAAAAGGTAAAAAGACAACTCACTGAGTGGGAGAAAATATTTGCAAGTTATACATCTAATAAGGATTACTATCTAGAACATATAAAGATCTATTACAACTCAATAGTAAAAAGACAACTCAATTTAAAAGTGGGCAAAGGATCTGAAAAGACAGTTCTTTAAAGATGATATAAAAATGGCCAATAAGCAAATGCAAAGATGCTCGACATCATTAGCTATGACGCTATGGGGGAAATGCAATCAAAACCACAATAAGATATCATTTCACACTCACTAACACAGCTATAATCAAAAAGACAGATCATAATTTGTGTTGGCAAGAGTGTAGAGGGTAAGGAACCCTCATACACTCCTGAAGGGAATGCAAAATGATGCAGCTGCTTTGGAACAGTCTGGCAGTTCCTCAAAAAGTTAAACACTGAGTTATCATTTAATCCAGCAACCCCATTCTTAAGATGCGGCATCTAAAAAAAAATAACAAATGAATGTATTTACAAACCAGAAATAGACTCACAAACATAGAAAACAAACTATGGTTACCAAAGGGGTAAGTGGTGGGGCATTGGGATAAGTTAGGAGTTTAGGATTAACAGATACACACTACTATATATAAAACAGATAACAAGGTCCTACTGTATAGCACAGGGAATTATATTCAATATCTTGTAATCACCTATAATGGAAACAATCTGAAAAAGAATATATATGTATGTGTAATTGAATCACTTTGCTGTACACCCAAAGCTAACACAACACTGTAAATCAACTATACGTCAATAAGAAATAAGTAAAATAATATTTTCAGCACTACTTGCAATGGAAATGTTAATTATGGCATACTGAATATTCACTAGCCTTAAAAAAAAAACTCTGCACCAGTACTGTGCATTTATAATTTTGTGAGTAGATAGTCTGAAAAGATTCACAATAACAGAAAAGATTTACATCACACTAGTAAGGGCCCATTGAGAGTGAAAAAATATCAGCTCCCCTGGGCTATGAAATCCCAAAACAGAGCCAGCAAACTATCTTTAATGGCCAACAAAGAGATGTACCTAACCTTGGCAGTTTTAATCATTTTAGTGAAATTCTGCACTGAAAAAGTACTCATAAACATGGCAAATCTTTTCTTGGATTCTAAAGGACTCTACAGTCATTTGGTACCGGAAACTTTTCCAAAGAAATTACAGGGATGCAGTATGACTTGATTCCTCCAGATGTCTCTGAACACCTATATTACAGTTTTTATCATAGAGATTAGTTTAGTTCTTTTTTTAACACCATTGAGGGAGGCAGGGAACTAGGTAATTGAAACTCGGACCTGTTGTCCAGCGACTTCTTTAAAGTTTAAAATTAACCTATAGCTGGCCCTAGAAAATGCTTCCGCTTGAGTAATGGAAAAGGCTATTTTGTGGAAACACAAAGCCCTGACTCAATTTAATATATATAACCACACTGTTCAAGGGTCTTGCTTGCTCAGCCTAGCTTAATCACATTGTTCCAGGGTCCCTAGTTACCTGATCTTATTTTTGCAGAGTGTTTGTTCCACAGAGCAGAACAAACTGGAAAGCAAGCAGGAAAAAACTGCCAAGAAAAAGAAAACAAGAAGCACCAAAGAAGACAGATAAAAGGACCCAGCCGAGACCCCAAAGTAGGGGTTCTTATGTCAAGCCACCTGAGCTCACAGCTCCTCCACTTGAGTGTCTTCAAGAGTCTCTGCCTCTTTTCCTTTTTTGAGCAATAAAGCAGCTTTCCCTTTTTCCCTTTGCCTCTGCTGAGAATTCTTTCTCAACCAGCAAGCAAAGACCCACGCTTTTGGTGGGCTTTCTAACTTGGGACTCTAGCCACTAACACCATCATATTAAAACAAAAGTCATGGTCTATGTTAAACTAAACCTAACTACTCCCAACGAAATTGCTAATAAAAGATGCCAAGTGTAACATGTTTTTACTTTCTTGGTTTTCTTAATAGGAACAATCTGGCTACATAAGCAATTGAAATCCATCTACTCTAATTATTAAAAAGCGACAATAAGCAGATGCCTTGCAAAAAAATTAATATACGAGAATTGAAGCTTAAAAAAAATAGCACTTCTTCAGATTCTGACCAATTACAGCCATCAGATGCAAAAGTCACCAGCAAAGGTAAGGAAGGGTGAAATGTGGCCGGTAATGTTTTGGCATACTCAATGGAGTTTTGAAATCTGAGCAAAGGAAAGAGAAATATTTGACCCTTGATGCCATGTCATTGATCAGAAAGAGGTATTTCCAAATTCCGTTGCTATCCTTGTCTTTTAAAAAGTAGTGATTGTCCAAAAGTTGTGGTTTGTTAGTAATAAATATTCTTGTGAGAAACTTTCTGGCAAATGGATACTGAATCTCATAAGGATCTAGGAAAAGGTCCCAAATGCATAAAGAACTAGATAGAGAAGAAAGCAAGTAAAGAGGGGGAAACAGCAAAGCTTTTAAAACTTGGAGAGGGCGAAGTTTTGTTTGAAATATGTTTCAAAAAAAGAATCTGAGTACTCCTTTCTCAATTATCACTTGCTCTAAGGGAAGGAGGCTTTCAGACTTTTGCAGCGCTTAGAATGCACCAAAGTTTCAACACCCGCAACCGAAAGGAGAGGCCTGCGACAAAACGAAACCCCAAGGAGGGTGGACGGTCCCATCCCTCTTCAGGTCCCGCAACTGGAAGTATGAACACAAGAAATACACAGGATCCGATTCGGTGGGCCTCGGCCTGGAGTTCCCGCGCGTCCCTATTCCCCAGGCCCTTCTACCTCGAGGGGCACCAACTTCCCCGCGCCGCTGGCCGGGGGTCCCAGCATCGACCCCAGGCTCCCCCGGGGGCCGTCCTGGGCCTCGCCGGCGTCCCAGCCGCCCCCGGAGCCAC